AAGAAAGGCTGTGAGAGCTGGGCCTGTTGAGCCTGGAGGAGAGAAGACTGAGCGGGGATCTCATCAATGCCTACAAGTATCTGAAGAGGGGGGTGTCAAGAGGATGAGGCCAGACTCTTCTCCGCGGTGCCCAGCGATAGGACGAGAGGCAACGGGCGCAAACTGAACCACAGGCAGTTCCATCTGAACAGGAGGAAAAAGTTCTTCCCTGTGAGGGTGACGGAGCACTGGGAGCAGGTTGCCCGTAGAGGTAGTGGAGTCTCCTTCCCTGGAGATATTCAAAACCCGCCTGGATGCCATCCTGTGCTCTAGAGGACCCTGCTTGAGCAGGGGGGTTGGACTAGCTGATCTCCAGAGGTCCCTTTCAACTTCAGCCGTTCTGTGATTCTGTGGTTCGGTATCTGGCCTTCAAAAAGTAGTGCTCTCCTGAATAACTTGGGCACAGTATTACAAAAGGAACCAATCGCATAGTGCTTACTTCAATCTTAAGCTGAGGTCAGGTGAACACCAAAGTGCATAGCTGTTTATAGTGGGAGTTAAAGAAAATTCTGTGATTCTGTGGTTCGGTATCTGGCCTTCAAAAAGTAGTGCTCTCCTGAATAACTTGGGCACAGTATTACAAAAGGAACCAATCGCATAGTGCTTACTTCAATCTTAAGCTGAGGTCAGGTGAACACCAAAGTGCATAGCTGTTTATAGTGGGAGTTAAAGAAACATGATTTTGCGACATACTTTGTAGCATATGTTTATATACAAGGTAAAGTGCAGGAGAAATTCTTTATCATTCTGTAATAAAAATTAAAAATTTTTCATTGTTCATGGATGATTTGAGTGACACTATTGTCTCTTGGAGCTTAGCTGTGTTAGGTTTAGATGAGTCCTGCTTATTGTGCTACTCCAGTCATGAAAACTGTTTAATTTGATCCCATTTTATGGAACTTTTAATTGTACGTGGGGGTATTGACTGGTTCTTCTCTTGTAGAACAGCGAGAGGATCTGCGAGGTGGATTCATGCTGTGTTTTCTGGATGATGGAACGGGAATGGATTCAAGTAAGTGACAGGAAGTTACGTTTCCATTTTTTAAGTTGAGGTGTCATGTTATGGCTTAAGCTGAATTGATAACTTGGTTCTGTTGAAAGGGGGAAATTCTGTGCAGGGATGCATGTTCCTGTCTGTTTGCACTGGCTCTTTTAGGCCTTATCATGTATCAAACTAATCATCTCCTCTGTCACAGAAAACTAATCTGGCCAAAAAAAAAAGTTTTGCTGGATGATATAGTTGAGTCAGCCTGGCCTGTAATTGATGAGGCATTCTTTGGGAGGATAAGGAGTAAATGAACCCAGATATCTCTAGGCTCCAACTATTCAAATAACATGAATCCTTTCATGAACAGAATATGTGTGTTATTCTGTCTTGTTGCTGTTCAGTCCCATTGGTCTTTTTCCATGCTTGACTTCCTGATTTTGTCTGGCAACTTATAAAAGCAGGAAAGGGTACAAAGAAGCAATAGGCCAAGTTCAAGTGCTCTGTCTGATAGCTCCTGTTTGTCAGCTTCTCAACTGAAATAAGTGGAAGTTGTAAGCGATGAGCCTTTCTAAAAGTTAGGCATGTGTGTCAAATTATTCACACCAGAATTACATTGAGAACATGATGCATTGACTCTTAATGGTTGTTTGACCTGAAGTTCAAAATACTTTTGTACTCAAGCTGCGGTCTTTCTGTCTTTATAGTACAGAGTCATAAGTTCTCAAAAGAGCTAAGATTCAGTAATCTCAAAGTACAGATTTTTTTTTTTTTTTTAAAAAAAAAAGCTTGGAATCCCACAGTGGAATATTAGAATTACAGTGCTGGTACAAAAGTTTGACTTTTTCATAGGGCACTAAATGATTCAAATAGAAAAACACACAGCGTAGATCTCATACTGCACATCCTAGATCAGCATTTCCCATATTGTAAATGATCCCTGTTGAGGGTACTTAGGCTTGAGAAGTTTTACTTACTGCTTGGGCTCTTAAGGTGCTGCATACATTTAATGACTCAAAAGCCAATTGTAATTTGAAGAAATTTAATAACTGATTTAGAAAGTGATCCATAATTGTATTCTTAAAGGATTGAAGAACGTAAGTCTTTAACTTGCATTTTATCCCAGTCCTTAGTCCTTTAACTATATCTGGAGGGTTAGAAGCTTAAAAGTGCCTTTCATTTTAGTGAATGCAGCTAGTTAAGTACTGAAGTCTCGGTTACTTTTATTAGCTTCTGTATTTCTTTAAATATTGTCTGTCCAAGGCTCATTACAGTACAAAACTGTGTTTAAATATTACTGGGATTCTAGCACATTTTTAAGAATGTATACATGCTTCTGTGTTTAGGCAGTGACCCTTCGGAGAATGATGTTAGAGGAGTGGTGAAACTGTTTCTAGAACCTTGTTAGCACACTTAAAGATCAGTTGACATGAGAGGAAACTTGAAATAGGTTAGATCGTTAGTCTTCATGGGAACTTCTTCCAAACTGATCTGTCAATAACTAGCTGTGTTCATTCATTTCCCCCTGAGATAACTGCTTTGTTTCTGCATCTGTTACAGTAACAAAGATTTCGGAGCTTCTCTCCCTTTTCTGCTGTCCCAAGAGAAGCTGGACCTGAAGTGATTTTGGTTTAAACTGATTTTCCCCAGCCTAACTTCTCATAATGTCTTTGTAAATAAGACATTTTGGCTCTGAGGTCTCTTTTTTAGGATGTTGTCATTAATTCTACTGCAAATAGCCCCTCCTCTGCAAATATAACAGATAAACCTATGGAGAAGGCAAGAAGACTGAAGCAAAGGACAATTTTTCATGCTCAGATTGATACCTTCTTTGGTATACTCTCAACTATGGAACTTGGAAAGAGAAGGTTCTTCTCAAAGAGTGATGCTAGGTGTTGTCTTCAATGCCTGCCTTTTTCAAGTGACATGAGGCACTTCACAAGCATTGTTTTTTTACTGCTCACACTGAAGTGAGGTGTGTATAAGCCCCAAAGAAATTGGTTATGGGAGGTATTATTTCTGACTAATAGACAATCTACAGCTGTCTGCAGTGACATTAGCTGTGCTTTATATTTCAGCCAGCATGCATGTTCAAACAACATGTCATTCAGAAAGATATTCTTTTGCCATTCCCCAGGAGTGAGCTGGGAAACAAACAGCTCTATCCAGCAGCTCTTCATCCCTAGCTGTTTGATGTTTCTTCTTAGGAATTCATCCTTTTTTATCTGAGCCATTGATTCCTTTTTCTGAACTTTGAAGATCAATCTACCATCGTTAGTGAATTCCTTTGAGTTATTTTTTTTCTTGTCTGCTTGGTATAGATCACATCAAACCGCTTTTTGTTGCCAGGGAGTTTGTTTTTTAAGTCTAGTAACTGTGAGACACGATAAAACCAAAACAGTGTGACTAAAATAGTCCACTCTCTTTTATTAAGTGAAACTCCCTCTAGAGCCTTAACTTGATAAAACTGGAAAAATAATCATTTTTACAAAAAAGTTAGAGAAAAGTTTCATTTGTGCATTGGTTCTTGAGAGTAGGTAAAGGTTAAGTCTGTCCCAAAGATAGAAAGCCTGGTGCAGAGAAACTCATTTACTCTTCAGTAGACCCCTCTTGCAGAGGTCATTTATATCCCTCTGTCAATAAAGAAGAATCTTTTTAGGCTGGTTTGGGTCTGTGAGCACTGAGTGATAAACCATATGTTCACCTTTTCTGAGAGAAAGGAAATGCTTTGGACAATTACTCTTTTCCATTTTTAGACTTCTTCATGCTTTTTTTAAAATAGTTGTTGACACAGCTTTTCACAAGAACAACAAGCAAAGTCTCTTTAGCTAAGAAGAGCCTGTTACAGTTATCCTTTAGAATGTCTTCCATTTTCCTCTCTGACCAGACTTAAACTAACACAAGAATAATTTTTAAAAAATTCTTATGTAGATCTCCAGAGATGAGATAACCTTCTAACGTTTTCTTTGATTGGGTTGCAAGTACCATAGTAGGCTGAAGTCCTGAGGGACTAGGTCAGGGAAGAAGTATTCTCATCCAATCAAAAATTGTTTTTCAAATTAGTTATAGACCTTCATTATAAACATAGTGAATTGAGATAGCTGGGTGCTTTTAAAGCTGTTCTCTTGTGTTTTTATCTTGTAATTTGTGGCTTTCCGTCTGAATGTCATTCGAATGGAAAATAACGTTCTAAAGTGCAACTTCATGATTCCTTAACAGACCAAGTGTTACTACTTAGCAACTCTGTGATTCCTTAACATACCAAGTGTTACTACTTACTCCGTGATTCCTTAGCAGACCAAGTGTTACTACTAAACTGTGCGTGTGATATAAAAGTTCATTGTACGAGTGAACCTGAATAAGCCTTCTGTATGCTTACGTTCAGTTTGTCTGCTGGTTCAACCTCCTAATAGTTGGTGGGACTAGAATAGTAAGTGATGTTCACAGCTTGTGTGTGCATTTGAGGGCTGGAATTGTTGTTAGTCTTCCTGTTTGAAGGCGTGTTCCTGTTAAAGAACTTCATGTTCCCTTGTTTCTGGAATTGCATTCCATTCTCCCAGTAAGTTTTGTGGTGAAGTGATTGCTATCTTTTGGAGGAAGGGAGGGGAATTGTTCCGTCTTAGGGGTGATACTACGAAGGCTTTATCCCTTGAACAATAGAAAGGCTTGAACTACAAGGACAGACCCTCTCAGCTGAAAAGCTGTCACATCCTCTCTTTTTGTCCTGTGCGAATAGAATGTATCACTCTGTTTACTTGCTGCAGTACTAGTGAACACTGCCTTTATACCCATAACTAACTGTCAGTACTCCAGGAATCTGCTGGTAAAATTAGCTTTTGTTTTACTAGTACATTCATTAGGCATAGTGCTCAGTTCAGCTCAATGACAAAAAAGTAATCAGTTTATCCTGCATTCATGGCCTTTTTTATAGTACTGGCTTATGCTATGTGCTAGCATTTTCAAACCTATGATGCTAGCAGTAGAATGGGGCCTGCAGTTATTCTAGGCATGTTTTTTGGTTTTAGTTTATGAACACATTTATAATTGTGGTGGACTCAACAGATAGTGTTGTTTATGTTTTTTGTAAAAAGACATCTTTTTGCACTTCACATAGGGCGTTGGCCTAGTCTAAAACATAAAACTCCTTTTGTCAGCATAATGGCATCTGTTTAAACCTCTGATAATATGAGTGCCATTAAATAGTGTAGTTTTTACAGAGCTGTATGGTAGAGCTTCATGATGGGGCTTTGGCTTGGGCTTATGGCCTCTTCTAGGTATAGTCTTTCTGTGCTACTCATAATCCTGAATAAATTCATCTAAAAGATGTGTATATATGTATGTATATTACAACAAACTTTGTTTTCACTTCCTGTCTTTCATTCCAGGTGAAGCTGCCAGTGTGATTCAATTTGGTAAATCAGCCAAGCGATCACCAGAGTCAACTCAAATTGGGCAGTATGGGAACGGCTTGAAATCGTAGGTATAAAAAAAGCCAGCCTCCTGAAATTGTGGAGGTTTGAGTTGAGTTAGTAACTGTAATTTTTACTTGGAGGTACATTTTTTTCCTCAGAATAATACATGCAGATAAAATCAAAATACGTATAAAGAGCTGCTAGCCTGTTAAGTCTTTATTTCTTCAGTGGGAGGGAAGTCTGTCCAAAGCCTGTGGCAGTATTTTTCCGTGATGTTTAGGTGATGCAGAGGTTAAGCATCAGAGCTGGAAAAAATTATTAAAGAGTAGGAGAGAAAAAAATTGTAATATGCCTGTAGTAGAGCATGGTAGTGATGCAGCCTCTCACTAGGAGAGTTCTCTGGTGCAAGTCTTAAACCTTTTCTTTTCTAATATCAGAGAATTGCATGGTGAAGGGCACTGTAACGGGAAGAATGAGAAGAGGGGTGGGATTAAGTGACAGAGCCACAGAAGCAGGAAGGAAATCTTAAATGGTTAGCGGGGACTAGCTAAGAAAAAAAAAAAAAAGCAGTCTCTGCTGTAGTAACCTGATGTCTTTAGTAGAGGGTAGAGTCCAGTTGACTGTTGTGGTTTGTGCTGCTGGTCTCTTTGTGGCTTGATGATATGTATTCATCCTACTGTGAGAAATCTGTGGAGTTCTGTTGTTGTGTAGGGGGGGAAAAAAGTATAGAGTCTTGAGATACCAGTCCAGTTTCAGTGCAGGACAGATTCTACCTCTGTACTTCCAGGACAGATCTGTGGCCATTCTTCATCTTAGGTGAGGGGTGTGTTATGTACAGCCAACTAATATAGACTGAAGCAAATATATGGGAAAAGTAAGGTTTGGTATCAAATTAAGCTAATCTAAGGAGAACTAAATTGGCAGAACACTAATCCTTTTTTGGATGCAGTGTTATTCTTTTTTTTTCTGTTACGATTTTTGAATCAGCTCTGGTGTTATCAGAGGAGTTTGAGCGATAGGATAATAGAGGAGGAAGGGAAGGCACTATTGGGAACAGGAGAGTTGGGGAGGAAGATGCGACTGTCCTTTTTAGTGACAACTAGCTGTTAAGTTGCTTTAGTTGAAATGTCAAAGTTTGCCCTTCAAGTTAGACATTAGGAAATAAAATTTATCTCTGCTGCTTTTCGTTCTATGAACAGTGAAACAAACTGCATATTTACTTTCTCAATGCATTTGTATTTGTACTCATATATTGGAAGCCTATTATCACATCTCAATGTAGTTGTCTTTTTTAGATTTAAAAAAAAAATTTCTTTTGAACTTTCCTCCTAGTTTGAGCCTTTATACTTCTATGTCTTTTCGTTATGACTTTAATATTAAATGTTTTAGGGAATGAATTTAGGGAATTCCATTTGATCATATGAAAATGTCTGAATTTAGATGCCTTTTTATAAGGAACAAGATGTTTAAGGGTAAAATGATGCTTGCTTTTTCTGTTTCATCTGGTTTTAACGTTTCATAACTGAACATAATGGGAGGAAACTCTGGGTACCTCAGTTTTTGCAGTGTATGTCAAAGAAATAAACCCTAAAACACCTTCTAAGTAATGTCATGCATCAGATGTAACATGTAGTCTGAAATCTGTCTCTAGGGGTTCCATGCGTATTGGGAAAGATTTTATCCTGTTCACGAAGAAGGACAACACCATGACTTGCCTCTTCCTGTCACGGACGTTTCATGAGGAAGAAGGCATTGATGAGGTTTGCACGTGCTGTTCCCAACTTGTTTCAGCCATTAGCTAATCTATCTCTTATCTCTAATTTTTTTGTTCTAAACAACAGAAAACACCAATAACTTTATTAAAAACCTATACAAATTATAAAAGAACAAGATCAGGACAAATATGAGTGGAGGATACATGAGTTCAGGAGAACAGTTAAGCATAGACGTTGATGTTGTTTGAAGAAGCAAGGTTTGGGTTTTTTCCTAGTAGTATGAAAGTTGTTAGAAGAGGAAAAAAGACATGGTTGAGCGTGTGAGCAGGCAAATAGGGTAATGACAGTGATTAATGTGGGAGTTCTTGTACTGAAGCAATACCAAAATCCACTTCTGCTTTCCTCTCTCTGTTAAGGTGATGCTCTGCAGGCTAATAACAACATAGATAACGTTATCCCGCTGCTTTGTTTTCCTCTGTGCTTCTTCATTCTGCATTCTTACTACTTTGTAAGCGTCATAGCTGTTTAAGCTACACCATTTTCATAAAGTTTTAATATAAACTTTTAGTCTACGTTTGTTCTTGGTGACTTTGTAGTCTCTTTAAGTCCTTTTAAGAGAAAATTGTGCAGCCATAACTCTGTCCTGATACTTTGATGAGTCATGCTATTGGAGAGGCTGGACATGAGAACTCACGGATTTCCAGTAACTAAGTGTTTCACTGCCCCAGGGTGACTGTGAGCAAAACTACTGCTTTTTGCTCACATAGCATGTCTGGATTAAGTTGGTAATGATGAGTACAGTTCCTGTGATTTGTTTCTAGCTCCAAAAAAAAAAAAAAAATCAATCATTAGTCATCTGCTCAGCTTGAGGAAAAAGACTGAATGAACTGTGGAGACGCAAACTTAAGCAAACAAAGAAAAACACCCCCAAAATCTTTGCTCTGCATAGCTGAATCATGACCCTGGGTTTATCGATAAAGGAACAGGAAGCTTGTCCTTGCTGCACTTATTCCAATATATGGAGATGTCAGAATTCCATCATAGTTTGTCCTAGCTCCCCTGTATAAGAGTTATGGTAGCATTTTTAAGCTGTGGAAAGGTATTAAAGTGGAAACCTAGTCCTTGTAGCTGAAGGAAGCACACCTTTAGCTGGTGTGAACTGGCTTAATTTCCCAGACTTGGACAGACTTAAAGCAGCTGAGTCCCTGGCTAACCACGGTGATGTGGAGAATTGACAAATTCCCTTTAGGATAAATTATTGAAGGGATTAGATGCTTTGTCTGGTCAATAGCATACAGATACAGTTTATCTAAGACTAGATGTTGTAGAAGGGTAACTGAGAGGCTGGAAAAGAGGGGTCCTTGAGCATTTTATCGACATGCAAACCACTGAAAAGTTAGGAAAACGCAATACCTAGGGGGCCATCAGAAGGACTATGTTCACTTAGACATGAGCCACAGAGGTGGCTGACTCAAGTAGGCAAGTCTAATGGCTCTTATTACAATCTGATCTGCAGGTCATTGTTCCCCTGCCCACCTGGAACACACGGAGCCGAGAGCCTGTAACTGACAACAGGGAGAAGTTTGCTATTGAGACTGAGCTAATTTACAAGTATTCCCCTTTCAAGTCAGAGCAGGAAGTGATGGAGCAATTTAACAAGATCCGTGGAGAAAAAGGTAAGTATATATGGTGCTTTTCATGGGCAAGGGATTTGATGGTTGGATGGCACTCACCTGATAAACTTTGTTTCTTGCTCAGGCACCCTGGTGATCATCTTTAACCTTAAACTAATGGATAATGGAGAGCCAGAGCTGGATGTGACGTCTGACCTCCGAGATATTCAGATGGCAGAAACACCCCCAGAGGGAACGTAAGTGTAACTGATATTACAGGTGTTGGGATTCTGATCAAATTATATGTAGGGTTTGCTGGGTAGATCATGTTTGCTTAGGTTTTTCAGAAGCTTCTTTTTCTGGGTGTGAATTGGAGAATTTGGAAGTTCTTTAGTTTATTTTTTGGAATTCATCATTGTAAACAGCTCATGGACGTTATGGTTGTGCTCTTGGTGGGAATTTCTGCATTGGCTTGTCTCAGCCTAGTCAAAGCAGCAAACTCGAGATCCTCCTTCAGCTATTGTTTAACAAAGGTCGGGAGCCCTAAACTACAGAACTAGTTTTCTAGACTCATCAAAGAAGTATGTGCCAGAATGGCAGCCTGTGGATCTGTTTCTTTCTTAAACTGATACTCTGTTTTGTGGTTAAATGCACACTGACAAAATTTGAGATGCTATGCAGGTCAAGTTCAGTGAATGAATGGCACTGTTGAGTACAAGTGTTAAGTTCAGTGGAGTGTATTGGAGCTTTTGGGGAATACAGGTAGCTCCTTGACTTCCTTTAAGAGGAGGGAGAAGGATGTGCTCAGAGGGGAGCTAGAGGAGCAGAGGACTCTGTTCAGGCAGAGCTGTATGTTTGCTTAGCTCATCAGGGAAGAATTTCAGGATGAGCCTTCTAGAAGCTTTATTCACTTGCAACCTGAAAAGAAAGGAAAAACTGGGCTAAACCAACCGAGTGATTGATTAAATTCCAGAGCTTCATTTGGCCTACCTAGAGAAATTTACCTTTTTTTGTGAGATTACATGCTCTTTCATTACATTGCTTGTTTCCTACAGAAATACAATTTCAAACACCACCTACCTAGCTATTTCTGTATGTAAGGGCTTGATGTTATGGAGTGCAAAGGTGCAACAAACTCCTTGAGGACGTTTGGGGATCAAATGTGCTTCTCAGTTTCTTTAATGCATGCTGGTGAGTCTTTATGATCACCACTGATCACTGGAAAGAGCTCCTTCCTCCTGACCTTGTGGTAGGTGCCGTTTCTGTTTGATCTGTGCAGTTTCTGTTGGAGCACACTCTTACCCTTCAGTTAGTCAGGAGAATGTACTAGGAAGCTAGCACTTCTTTAGTGCTAAGTGTTCCAGTTTATAGATTTGACCTACTATTTGGTAGGGTATGCTTTTTTTATCCAGCTTTATCCAAACATCCTTTTCAAGCTGCAGTAATATATCCACATAGAAATATTTTGTCACTGTATTTAAAATACACAATTAAAAAGTATCTGTGGAAGACGTAAGTCTACCTGCGTGATGATTAAAATAAAGGCCTTTTCTTTTACATAGCTCTCTTGCTGAAGGTTGTAACTTTGGCATATCTTGAAGTAGCTGCTTACCTTTGTTCAGATTGTGCCCTTACTCCCGTTGATTTTAAAGGGAGCCTCTTGCTACAAGCTCAGATGGTAACGTTTAAAGTTGAACAAGGCGAATCCTGTCATAAGTGGCTAAAATATGCCAAAGGACAGTGGAATCAGTGTGGGAGGTGTTTGGGGCTGGGGAGTATTTCTGTTGATCAGCTGGAACCTGGGCAGCAGTTGTTGGGAACCAAGAGTCTTGCAGGTTTTATCAATGGAAAAGCTCATTCATTTGCTTTGGATAGAGGAGGAGGCTCTGTTGTGAAAGTAGTTTATCAGGGCTCCTCTTATTTGGAGAGGAGTGAAGGAAAAGAGAAAGGGAATTCAGAATGAAGGAGACAGACAGATGAAGTCTCTAAGGAGACCTTGATTACTCGAGGCATGAACTGATGTTGTCACTTTTGGGTTGTGTGGACCCAACCAGGAAAGTGGGTCTTCTGGTAATCCTGAAAGGAAATGCTGAACAAATGACCTGGTTTCTGTAAGCATTCCTTTCTTGTAGAAAGCCTGAGCGTCGCTCCTTCCGTGCCTATGCTGCTGTGCTTTACATTGATCCCAGGATGAGGATCTTCATAAACGGGCACAAAGTACAAACCAAGAGACTTTCATGCTGCCTCTACAAGCCAAGGTAAGTATTGTGACCCAAAGTCTGCATATGTATGTGAGACCCTTCAATGTTTCCTTACAGAAAAGTGTTAGTGTTTTGCTCTCTAGGTGTATCCTATGTAACTCCTTGTTAAAGCTACAGAAGCAGATAGTAGGAAAATGGGATGTGGTGTTGACATTATGGGAAAGGGGGTAGATAATGGAAAATCTAACACTTTTGAAAATCACACCCATGACCTGTGGAATTTGGCTCCCTTTGAAAGCAAACACAGAAGTGGAGATATTGTTCAAAATGCCACGTTCATACAAAGCTGTTGGATAACTTTTTTACGGAGGACAGAGAAATTCATATGGTGTATGTTAGAATTATTATGGAAATGAAAAAAGATTGAGCACTTTGACAAAGTGTGCTTTGCAAATTATTTTTTTTATGTAGCTGATTTAGCTATGAATACAGATGTCAAGCCACCAATTACTATCCTTTGAGCCTGGCTAATTTTCAGCTTACGTAATGGTCTACCAAGTTCATACTTCAGCTTCTTAAATGAGAATGTGGAAAACAGTATCAGAAGCCTTGCTGAAGTCAAGGGAGATTACATCCACAGCTCTTCCCTTGTTGACCTGGCCAGTCATTGCATTGTAGAAGGCAGTTAGGTTGGTCCAGCATGATTTGCCCCTGATAAATCTGAATTTCCTGAGTAAGGCATCTCTTACACTCTAAGTTTACCTATGTGTAAATGTTACATCTGCTACATGCTGCTTTATCCTATGCCACAATCCAAAAAAGTACAAGGAAGAGGAGCAAAGGAGGAGGGCACAGGCTTTTACCTCATCAGAGACCAGCTTCTGAGATTCGAAGACAGGAGTTCATCACTACCTGGTTATTGCCTGCATTATCATGATAGTATAACAGGTAGTGGGTCACATCAGAGGTTCATCTGTCTCAGTTTCTTCTCCCTGAAAGTGGTCAGTAATAGATGTCTAGGGAGCAGTATAAGAGATTTGGTTCTGCCTTATACCTTAGAACTCTTTTCTTTTTAGACAGTTTAGTCAGGAGGTGTTCAGGATCCCTGTCACCAGTTCTGGATCTGCTTTCCATTTTTTCTGGAGAATAGTGCCTTGCCATTGGACAGCTGTAAAATGATTTACATTTAGAGCTCCTGAAACTCCCACTCCTGCAGCGCAGAAGCAAAGACTGCGAACAAGGCTGAGGAACAGTGTAGGGCTTTGCAGGCATGGGGCAAAATAACCTTAGAGAGTTCTTCTGGAAAGTGTGCAGACAGTTTTCTTCTGATCTCCTACTCTTTATGCAAGATGTGGATACCAGAAGATGCACGGATGAGCCACTGGTACCTGCACTGTTGGTTCTGAGAACCAGTATGGCCCTTCAGGTACTTCCCACCTTGTGCCATAGACAACTTGTGAAGACTCAATCTTTTACCTTCAGATGCATGAGCAGAGATTGTTCTCCCTTGGGTCTCTCTTTCCTGAGGACCAATTGCAGGGAAAATGGAAGATCAGCCCATTCTGAGGACAAAGTTATTGTTCTTTTGCAGCTATTCATCATGATCTTTTAGGTTTTTTTCTGAACCTGATGAGAAGGGTTGCTTGTGGCCTGGATCTTCCCTTTAGAGTTGAAGCCAGAGCTCATGCATCCCCACTTACATCTACTTACTGGGTTTTGAGTGCTCTGCCATTTAATTCTACTATTCTGAACTGACATAAGGACTCTGATTTTTTTTTTTTTTTTTTTTGGTATGGGAGGCAGAGGGCACTAATGGGTACAGCAATCAGCTTGTCCCTCTACCTTTTGGTCTACTTTCAAGATCTGTTCAGGAAAATTGTCTTTAGGAGGTAGTAGCTCCTGTCCTCTTTATAGGACTGTAAGTCAGTTTATCTTCACCTCTAAGGGAAAGGCTTTTACAGTGACTTGTCTGCACATTAATTTTTGGTGTTAGAGAATGAAGGATGGAGATCTGTTGTGGGCTTTAGAATGTTTAAATATCTTTATTGCAAATTCAGGATAGTGCTTTTAGGCAGCCATTGCACTGTTCTACATCAGGGATTATAGCTTATCTCTTGAACAGGACACGTTCCCATTGCCATCTGTTCTTTTTGGAAGCTGCCTTTTTGTGGGTAGTAGAGTCAACTGTTAATACAACCTGCTTAGGGTTGTACTCCTATGTGGAAACTGTCACTCCCAGTTAGGTGGGAGTGGGGAATATCCATCCAGGTCATGGAAGCAGTGGTTTCTCTTTTCAGATGAGCTCTGGTTCTCTTCTGTCCTTAAAAAGCTTAGTGAGAGAATTCTCTAGATCTAACAGTACCTCACTACCTTTCTGGAACCTTTAACTTCCTGGGATTGAGGGCAAGTTAATTTTGTGCCAGATTGCTCACCAGAGTTTACAGGTGTGATACTGGAGTGTCTCCCTCTCTGGAAGCTGCTTTTGCATTTTGAAGGATTGATTTCATCTATCTCCTTCCACAGTAACTGTGTGAACTTTTGCAGTGCAGGCTGTGCAGCTGAATGTAGTCAGGCTGTTTTGCATGTCAGCCTTTATGTGTACAATTTTCAGATAGATAATTGAATGGTCAGAGATCTTAGCAGACATCCAGTGTTGGTGACTGCAGTGGTACTCTATGCTATTTTGCTTTCCTTGGCTGTTGCAGTGATGTACTGAACCATATGCAAGAGTTTCCCTTTAAGAAGGCATGCTAAGGCAATTGTAATGAATATCCTGAAGATGGGGGAATATGTTTTGATATCAAATCATGCAGTATTCTTGCCTGCCAGGCAAGATAAACAAGACAAGATGCATCTTATTTACGTACTCATTTGCTAGATATGCTTTTCCAAATCACTTGAATATGGGCTTTCCTGGCTGTAAAGACTCTGATACTAGAAAAGAACATGAAACAGTAATGGCTTTTTTGTTTCTTTTTTCTTGAGAAGTGGTCAGTTTCTGGGACAGTATTGCTGAAACCAGATCTGTGTACTACAGTGGTCCTCTTTGTTTAGCTTACTAGGTCACTGAACACTCTTGCAGGCAGACAAAGCTGGTACTGGCAATAGGCTTGCACATGGGGGGGTTGGGATGATACCTCACGTTACTTTTCTGTATTACCCTGCAATTGCCCCCTCTGCATTTTGGTGAAAAGGAGGTGTTGTACCTCTGCTTGCAAGACAGAAGTTCAGTCACTTTGTTGCCTTGAAAGCTGGGCATGTTGAGACATTTCATCTTCCCCTTGTTTCTCCTGCTCTCAGGAGAGTAAGGCAGGATGTGGATGAGGTAGTTTAATAGTGCCAACACATTGAAAGCAGTTCTTGTTTTCAGGACATGTTCTATCTCTTGGCCCAGGTAGCTTAAATCACCCTTGAGTGCATTTAAGGAGATTGCACCACCCAAAACCCAAGTCTCCTTCTAACATGGTTGTTGGATGATTCTTGGAAGAATTAGTGCCAGCCTGCCTTTCTTGCCAGCAAGGGGGTCCTTTTGAATAGCAGAAAATAAGTTGCACAGATATACAACTTTTATGCGCTAAATTCTACAAATTGTACACTAGATGCACAAATGTAATCAAGTTGACTACGATGTAAATTTTCTGAATTGAAGAATAAAGTTTTTCTGTTTATGAGTGTGTTTGATATCTGTATCTATATCTGCATATGCCTGCCCCTAGAAACATACCTAACTCCTTTTTCATCTATGCAATGTGATTACTTATGGGTCTTGATGGATTATCTGCCATTTGAAGGGATCTTGTCTCTTATTGGGATCTAAATGTGGTTCCTCCTGCATTAATGAGTTGGTCAGTTAAGCCTTATGTTCTTATATGCTTCCCCGTTTCTGTAAAAACAACATTTCTAGTGATGTTTGCTTTGGCTAAATGCTGGGGAGATTTGATCCCTTAAGCTTTCTTTTTTCTATAAAGCTTTTTTGGGATGGAATTTTCCTCTGGTTACATCCAAACGCTTGTATCTAAGGTAGCTTAAGTTCCTGCAGGCTCTGGTCATCCTTCTTCTTGTCTCCTCCTCTTCTGCAATTACAAATGTCCACGTAGAGGTGACATGTACTTGTGACCTTCTGCCTCTTTTATGAGGCTGTCTCTTTCACTCTGAAATAGTTAGATTGTGACCTGTATTTGATATGCTATCATTATATCAAATAGGCCACTGCAGCTCAAGCATGCTTTTCAAGGTTGTAAGCCGAATGTGTAGCACATGGAAACGTTCTGAAACTTTAGAGCTGAAACTTGAAGATCTGCCACTGATGTTATAACTGATGAGCCACTTAGAGGCTTCCAGGTGGGATGTAATTCTCGACGAATCAGTGCTCCGCTAAGTTTTCTCTTAAGATCTGCTCTCCTTAGAGGTAACTTTGCAGGAGGCAAACTGCTTGGCGGCACGCACTGTGAAACTACACATTTGAACAGTTATTTGAAGGAGAAAGGAAAGGTTGTTTATCTGTAATGAGAGGTTTTTGACAAGCTTTCCATGTATGTTCACTCCAGCTTTCCACTTCTGAAGAATTTGTTCCTCTTAACCTTGGGTTTTTCTCTCGGAGCGTGGGATATGTTGCACCCCACCAGATCACATTGAAAAGCAGGGGGACTGCGGTTGCTGTTATTGCTAAAGCATCTCTGACTTAAAAGTTTTGGCTAAGCACTTCCCAGTATACTTCATTACTCATGCCTAAACCCCATTCTCCATTTATTGAATCTTTCGAGAAGGGTAGAGTAGCATGTGGAGACCCTGTTCTCTAATAGGATGATCAAATCATAGTGTGACCTGACTGCTGAAGTTGCTGATTAATAACTTTTGATCATCACAGGATGTACAAATATACTTCAAACCGTTTCAAGACCCGTGCGGAGCAAGAGGTGAAGAGAGCAGAGCACATGGCAAGGATAGGTGAGTCTTTGGGGTATGCATGCATCCTGCTTTTGCTGTAGAGAAAGAAAGGACAGAAAGAGGCTACATTGCTGATAGGACCTGAAATTGCTTGCTTTTGTGACCACTATAATTGCTCAGGAAATTCATTTTTACAGTGATTCCAGATGAACCAGTCTTATTTCAGTGCAATGGGAGGAACTTGCATTATTCCCTAAGACCACTTCCTCTGAGGAACAGATGTACAGAATAATCCCTACAGTTTTCTCCCCCTGTTCTGTCTGAAGCCTTGCGAAGCTGCCTCCTTGTTAGCCTGTAGTTCTGCCCTCATCTTTTGCATATCATTAGTTTCTTTGTTCTGTTCCCCTTCTGTTCCTTCGCTGTTGAGGCAGTCACTCAAAACTAGATTTTTATTTTATCAGTTAATGTACACCCAGAACAATCACATTATAAGGACATCCTGTTGTTTTTTTTTTTTTTAAACTTCGAGACATATCTTTTGTTTGTCCAGTCTTACCTTCCTCTCAAGTTCTTTAGTCTTCAGGAGAAAACCCAGTTTGACATTATTGGATATTTAGCATACAGGTATATAAGCATATAAATGTAACATATGCAGCTTTGTTAAACTTGCATAAATTTAACACATAAAGCAGTCTCCACCATCCCTGATGGAGAAATTCCGTAGTGAAGGAAGAATCTTGAAGTTGTAAGACATGTTGACTACTCTTTCTGATAGGTTTCATAAATGATGTTGCTGAGGCATATGCCTTCTCTCCCTGTATAAGAGATGCTTTAGGTGCACACGTGTGCATTCAGATTAGATGTGAATAACTTTCAGGAAGTTTCCAAGGCTACATTCAACCTGTACAAAGACATAAAGGGTAGTGTATTTGTGACCCTCCCAAAGCAGTAGAACAAAATTGTATAAATTGCTGTGTTCCCTCTTCCTCCTTCATGAAGTACAACCTAACATGGTGGATTTGAAACTATGGCGTTTAAGCCGTTTATCTTTTACTTCAGCGCCCGTACTTTTTTTTTTTTTTTTGAGTCCTGTAGCCAAAGCAGATGTTCAATACGTTTGTATTCTCTTCAAGAAGGTGTAAACAGCATGATTCAAAACAGTCTGTGAGGCCTTCATGATGTTTAAAAGGTGAGCTTTAATGTCTTGACATTGAAGAATACTGCCATTCAGTGCTCTAGTTCGAAGAACTGATACCCTTGACACTGAAACTTAAACTCAGCATTAGCACCAAAGCTGGCTTACTACCTCCGGTAGCGGAAGGGGGTGCTGAACAAAGGGCTGTGAAAATGGAGATGAAAACTCAAGGCAGACTTCAGACCGTTTTCTGCAAGGGTTGATTACGTAAAGCCTCCAGATTTAAAATATTCTTGTGTCATTAACCCCAGCTTTAGTGGCACAGATCTCAGTTCTTTGCTTCTAGGAAAGTTACAGTTTCATCTGTAACAAAGTGTATTTAATACACAAAGTACTGCTTTTCTGCTGTTGGTAGAGAACATTTATTTCTTCTTATCACTAGCATATGTTTCTCTGAGTACACGCACCACTCTCATGAGGGATCTTCACCAGAGAAAGATTTCTTCCAATAGAGAAACTAGAGATGCAACATGAGAAATGATAGATGTCAGCTGAGCTAATCACAGTTCTACAGTGTGCTGTGTCTGTCTGTTAGGGATGTATTGAAATCCTTCATGCTATAGATTAAGTCACTCTATCCATAGACACTTATAATCTAGTAGGAAAAACTAGTTTTAAATGGACATGCAACGTTCCGTTTTCTTACCAGATTTTTTTCATCACTTGACAGTGTCCTTCATAAGGACTTCCAGTGTCTGGCAGTCTTGTTTCATTTCAGAAGCTCTGCTAAAGGATCAATAAGACTCTGGAAATAGCTTATGAGGTTATTGAAGGAAAACTGATGATAGTTGAAAGATGACTACAGGATAAGAAAAATGTGTGGACAGCCATGACTGTCAGTGACATGGCTGATTGGTGTGTGGTTACTATAGAAGCTGTATGCAAAACAAAATAGCTTTAGGAATTGGTATTCCAAAAGAGCCGCAACTTATGAGTGAAGACTTGTCACATATATTAATTCCCTGGGAGCTGACATCATGTCTCATGTGATAAGCTTCACCATCCAAAGCCCTAAGTGAGCAAATGGACCCATTCAGCCATTCCAGGACATAAGTACTGTGCCTGGGCAAGATAGCTACAAAAGGCCATCTTCTGTCTGCTGCATATTGCTGAAGTGAGGTTGAATTCTATATTCGGGCATCTAAGTGTTGCTGTTGCCTAGTTTCAAGAAATTATCTTACAAAGTTTAAAAAGTAAACAAACAAAAAAGGTGGAAAGAGTTATGTAGATGTCCATTACTGAAAGCCATTAACAGCTATGTTCCACACTTGATATTAGTCTAGAGTATTTTACTGTGTCCAGTGATTTGCTGTTGGCATGCTGTGCATGTTATCCACTTGTAGCTAGAAGCAGAATTCATATTCTCCTGTATGCTTATTGTCCAGCTTAGAGGCTGCATTTTTACCTGTTAGGATCTCAGCACTTAGATTTTTATTTGAGTCATTCCCTACCAAACATGTCTTTTCAGCTGTCATTACTTTATTGGAACATCTTTGAGGCCTGCCTCTTAAGGGCAGACCTCACTGTGTCGTCTTCCCTTTGGACATAGTTGTGCTTAGTCTACAACTCTTATCATATAAGCTTTAATTTAAATGGACCAAACTTTTTAAGCTGTCTCCAAACTCTTCTGATTAAATGTTAAGCTAAGCCATCTCTTCAGACGATTAAATTGGTCATACAGTGTAATTCTGCTGTTACTTGCCTGGCAAGCTACTGTGAAATTCAGAGGATGGTTTTGTGGGCATTGATGCAACAAAACTCAAGTGTAACACTGCATAGAAGGGGAAAATGATTTTTATTTTAATAGTCTGAGTACATTCACTGTACCTATTTGCAGTCCCATGCATGCAGACAACAAAAATGTGTGTCCACAAGTAATCCTGGCCACAGTACTCAGAGCAATGGATGCCAGTTATCAAATGCGAACTAGATCATCCGGACTCTTTTTGATTGGTAACTGGGTACTGGTTTTTGGAGAGGTATTTTGTACTCTCTAGGAGCCAATTGCTATTGTGGTGTGATCTTTTGCCTCATCTTACTTACCTCTTCCTCTGTAAACCCTTAGACAAGGTTGCTGCTCCACTGTTTTATTTCCTTGTTTGGGATGTCTCGCAGCTAAAATCTGTCTCCCTGTTGGGAGAACAGGGAGAGAAATGGCTCATATGATGTAGCTGTAACCTTGCTGCCACCTTCCTGTAGCTGGGGTATGGGCCTGCTGCTTAATCCATTTTCCTTGGGGACATTTTTGAGTAAACGTTAAGTGGTATGAGATTGATGCATACCAATTGTTAGACTATCTTTTGGATAGTCTGGAAGAGAAACAAGAAGGAGGATTTCTCTAAGTGATAAACTTGAAGATCAGAGTTAGTGGTAGGTTTTCAGAGCCCTGTGTGCTATTTTGTGTAGCACAAATTTGGCTTTCTTCAGACCTAATTAAGCGGTTATTAAAGAAAAAAGTATTTCTCAGAGTAATCCCTTCACACCATCTATGCAAGTAAACTATCTTGTTGTACCTCCTTTTCAAGTCTGAACTCGGTCTTCATTTTGTGGCAGTGTGTGAGCTTTTCTCTCTGCTTTCATACTTCTGTGCAGACGAGACAGGACCACTTACATCCTTACCATTTCCATCTCCTCACTATCTTTCTTAGGGATCCTTCCTTAAACCTTCTTTTAAAGAATTTAGACCTTTTATTATGCTAGTGTTGACTGATGAAGTTTAAGGTGCCATGTTAATGGGCTCCTCTGTCATATGTAAGATTTTATTTTGTACCTTCTTGTGTTACCTTTGTCATCTCTCCCTCGTACATGGAAATCTAGCAAAGGCTCTGCCTGGAAATCTGTTACCTCAGGTGAATGCCTTATAGTAAGCTGTCTGTTCTGAAAGGTTAATACAGCTTTTTTTTTTCCTTGTATTTTAGCGGAGGAGAAGGCTCGAGAGGCAGAGAGTAAAGCCCGTGCACTAGAACTGCGCCTAGGAGGGGATCTCACACGGGAGTCCAGGGTGAGGCTTCTGCCTTTCCAACAGGTTGAATTTTAAGCATTGAAGGAACGTTCGTAACTGTGGTTTTGGAGCAGAGAGCTGTGCTGTTTAGCTGTTCAGTTGCTTTTAGCCCTTTGATATGTAGGTTAAGCAGGTGCTGGCTCCTGTTGAGAGATAAGTTTCAGCAGTGTTCAGTCCTAGGCAATTCCATGGTCTTATGACCACAGGACGTGCTTAAATTTGTGTGTGTCATTCTCTGAAGAAGCAGCATGGGGACTGTGAAGTATTTGAATAGAAGTAAAATTGGATAATTTTTGTCTGTTCCCTCTTATGGCGATTGCACTTTGCTCCTGAGCTTTCCCAAACTGTTGCTGGAATGTTTGAAATTTTTTATTTTTGCTTGTTTTGTTTTTCTTCTGAATGGTACCCTGTGAAGCCAGAGCTTGTGTGGTGATACTGCAGGCTCTTGAAAGGTGGGTAAGGATTAGCTTAGACCTAGCCAGTAGTGG